AATAAAAATAAAATTAGGGTTAATTTCATTTTTTCACACTAGTTTTTTTATTATATTAATATTGACATAAGGGTAATTTAGTCTTTAGCAAATATAAAACATTAATTAGAAGAAAAAAAAGTGGCTCGCATATACATAATAAGGGTTAACAAGTAAGATGCATTTTTATTTTCAGGTGACGTGTGAGGTGATTTTTGGCGGTTACAACAGTCTTTTTTAATGTGGTTGAATTCATCTTAACATCTCATCCTTACTAAGATAATACATGTGATGTTATAACCTTTGTTTTAATGCTGATGAGTTTTTTTCTTCTTTTTCTCAACCTTGATTTCTAATTGTGATACTTTAAAAATTCAAGTTAGCTTTTCAATTTGTTTTTTCTTTATATTTCATCCTTATTCTTTTAATTATTTTTTTAAAATGATTTATAACTTCTTCTTTTTTTAATTTCATCCTCATTTGATTTTTTTCATCTCTTATATTTGATCTCCATTCGTTTACAATTTGATCCCTAAGCATTTAATCTCGATTTATTTTTATGTGGTCCTTATTATTTTGATTACTATTTATTTTCCTTTTAACAAAGTTTCTAGATTTGATTATTTTTTCTGGTTTCATTATTCAACATTGAATTGAATTTTTTTCTCTAAATTTATCCTTAAATATTTATTTGTTCAAAATTAGACTTCATGATTTTTTCAATTTGAGTTCTTTCGGTCTAATGACTCAGGTCACGAGTTTGAAAAGTTAATATGAGTTGATATTATTATTATTATTATTATTATTTTCAATTTCATCATTTAATATTTTTTTTAAGATATGGGCTTTATAGTTTTCTTCATGTTTATTTTATTATCTCAATTTTATAACTTGAATCATGAGTTTGATGGGTTCAGCTGGATTTGTTTCTTTTTTTTTTTAATTCAATTTTGTCCTTTAGTGTTTAATTGTATGAGAATTTAGCCGCATAATTTTTTCTTTTTGATAAAAGTTTTTTCTTTCTAGGTTATCATAATCCTTTTTTTTTTATTTGGTCCATGTGTTTTCATTTTCTATTTTTTTTAATCAATCAATTAAAATAATATCATCTTATTTTATTTAATCAGATCTATAATTTTAAGTTATAATTTTATTTTCTTTATTAAAATATATTAGCAACCTCAGAGAATATATTTTGTAAAAAAAAAAATATGATTCATTCACAAGCACCAACAAGTAGTGAGTTTCTATAACTCATTTGAGAGGGAAGTATTTTTTAAATAAATTAAAATAACTCTTTTAAAATATTATGAAATTTCAAAGACCATCCAAATTTTTCTAGATTTGACAAAAACTTCCTTCCATGCTTTAAAAAAATTACAAAATTTTCTTTTGAACCCAAAAACACCATTAATTAATCTTTTATATATATATATAAGTATGGTTTTTTTGAGTTGATGAACAATATTATTTCAGCTATTTAATTTCAATTAAATTTGGTTTCGAATATTCTCTCTCAAATTTTTAAATTTGTTATGTATTTATCTTAGTACCAATCAAGCACAATTTTGGTATATAAGGAGATTTCTGTCGAATATTGAAAGTTTTGAATGATATTTATAATTTTATTTTATTTTAAGAGGATTATTGTAATTTACTGAAAAGAAAAATGGGAGAAAAAAGAAAAGGGTTTATCCAGACTTCGTCTAAATGTTAATCTATAACCACAAGATCATCCATTTTGTGAAAAATCTCCTGCATGTGGATGGAAGTATAGGCATATATTCTTGTGTTTAACAAAAAATAATCAGAAAGCACAAATTCTTCAGTGACAATTTTCACTTTTCTGCTTAAGAATTAGTGGCAGTTCTAATCGAATCTACTTCATTCAGAACGATGGAACACTACAAGTCACATTACATGATGTTGACCTACTTCAAAGTGCCCAAACAAGATGAAACTCATTTCAAAGGGAAAGGGAAGGCTTGATAGAATTGAGTATTTATAGTGTTTGGAGTTAAAATTATATTTTTTATATTTTTTTAATGTATTGATATCAAAAATAATTTTTTAAAAATAAAAAAAAATATTATTTTAATATTTTTCCAAATAAAATATACTTTAAACTGCAACCATTACCACATTTTCAAACACCTCATCCATCAATCAAAGTATACTTTATACATGTCATCACTAATCTAAAGCTATAAAGTAGATGTAATTTAAGCCCCGAAAACAATAGAGGATCTGTGCTTCTTGCTAGTTCAAGATAATCGATAACTGAGCTGACTCAAAGGAATCAATGCCTTTCATTGTTACCTTTAGATCCAAGAAGAAACATTACAACATTAGATATTATTACCTTGGTGGACCTGAGTACCTCAAGTTCGAACCTAAATTTGTCTTTGCCTTCTACATGGAATATGATGCCATTACATTAAAGTGGGTTTTTAAGAATAACAACGTACTTAACTTTCGTAGGTATTGGGTCTTTATGGATTGAGCATATTGAAGTCATTTGCAGCAGAAAGAAAAATTCTCTGTAAAGCTAAAACCACGACTGGTCTCTCTAGTTTATGTGATGAATAACAAGGTTATCAACCTTTTTTTTTTTTTTTCTTTTTGCCTTTGAACATGTACAGCATTATGAACCTTTTCCATGAGAACACAATATATATATATATATATATATATATATATATATATATATAATTTGCAATAGGGCTACATTACATGATTGCATATTTGCTATTTTCTTTCCTGTTCTTTTCTCCCCAATTTTCAGCGATAAATCCAGACCAGACCATTTATGAAAATGAGAAAGCAATATGAATGGATTGAGGAACATTATCAGTACCATTATAGCATAAAGATTGGAAGGTTTATCCAACAGAAGTTTTTATTTCGAGAAAACTTCTCTAACTAATGGATAACAGCATGCAGCCACATTACATGACTGCAGTTTGCTTATTGGTAAAAAAAGTTGATATATAAAAGTTACTTTTTAGTAAAAAAATAATTTAACTTATTTTTTAAGAAAATATTTTTTTATTTTAAGCAAAATTCTAGAATTTGTTAAAAATTAAAAATATCATGTTATTTATTAATTATATCATATTTAGTTCTTAATTTTTTGATTACTATTTATTTTATTTTAATTTTTTAATTTATCAATTTTATCCTTTAGAATCTGATTTAATTTGATTTTAATATTAATTTTAGTCCTCATTCTTTTAATTGTTATATTGTTATTTTTTTCTTATCCTTTCATTAATTTAGATTTTGTTTCTATCATATTTGGTTTCTATTCTTTTGAATTCTAATTATTTTATTTGAAATAATTTATGAAATTTAAATTTTTTTAATTTCATCATTTTTCAACTTTTTTTATATAAAAAACATGGTCCCAATTCATTTCATTGCTCTTTGTTTACTTGAAATAATTTATGTATGAAATTGAGATTTTTTTAATTTCATTCTCCTTCAACTTTTTTATTTGTCAGATTTGGCCCTCATTTATTTATTGCTATTTGCTTATTTAAAATAATTTATAAAATTTATTTTTTTTTTAATTTCATTTTCCTTCAAATTTTTTATTTGTGAGATTCAGTCCCATTCTTTTGATTTTTATTTGTTTTACTTAAAATAATTTATTAAATTGTTTTTATTTATTTTACTTAAAATAATTTATTAAATTAATATTTTTTTAACTTCATCCTCTAATTTTTTTTATATGTCAAACTCGATTCCTATTCTTTTGATTTATATCTGTTTACTTGAAATAATTTATGTACAAAAATAAGATTTTTTAAATTTCATTATTCTTAAACTTTTTTATTTGTCAGATCTGGATTTTTTTTTGTTACTATTTATTTATTTAAAATAATTAATGATTTTATTTTTAAATTTTATCTTATTTCAATTTTTTATTTGTCAGATTTAGTTTTTATTTTTTTAATAAACTTGAAAAAAAAATTAAAATATTATTAAGTTATTTTCTACCTTATTTTCTTTGAGATGAGCAAACTTTAGAAAATATTTTTTGATTTATTTTTTTATAAAACTATTAAACATAAAAAACCAAAATAAACTAAGGAATTTACTTTTCATAATAACTCATTTTCCTTTTCGGCAAAGAAAAAGAGCATAAACGAACGAAATACATTCCTATACATTTATCCTTGGAACGAACGAAATACATTCCTATACATTTATTATCCTTGAAAGGGCCTTTCTGCTGGCAACCACTCCTAAACCCCCCCGTTAGGGCATGCCTAACCATCTTCATTTTAGGCAAAGGTGTTTGGCAGGCTAGGGTTATGTCTTAAGATGGGTAAAATCCCTTTTAAGAGTACAATGAGGACTAATTCAACCATCCCAACAGTCTGTCAGTGAAGGTGGAAGTAATCATGACTACCCCCATTGAAAAGTGAAGAAAAGAAGAGGAAAAGGGAAGACTGAAAGCAAGGTAGGCAAAATTGAAGATCATGATCAATTCATTAATTAAGTAATGTTTCTGATAAGAAAAACTAAAGTGACTTTTCCTTGAGAGATTATCACATAATTCTGTAATGATTGGTGGTAATATCCACTGGAAATCTTTAATTGCTTCACGGAGAGCATAATCATCGATGAGAGTGGGGCAAAGAGTTGATTGAACCTTCTCATTCCATGGCCTTCCTTTCAAGAATCATTGAAAGAGTTGCCTAGCAACTACAGAAAGAGGCTTGGCAAGTCTAAATTGACAGTTTAACGACCGCCTATACTTCTTCTTGATCATAACAAACGTCTTTATAACAAAAGGGTATGCCCACATTTCATTTGGGGTTCTCAATAATTGCTTGATGAATTGCAAGGCTTTACCTAGAAAAGCCAAAGTTGCAAGGCTTTACCTGGAAAAGCCAAAGTGAACGTGCCCTTTGCCGAAGATCAACCATTTATATATATGCTATGACGAGCGAACTGGGGGAGCTCGCTCATAATTGCAATAAGAATTTTTAATAGAAATAAACACAAAAATCTTTAGAATAAACTTGTTTTCTTCTGGGATATTAACACAATACAGCTCCGTCAAAACTACTAGAATTACAAAGAGGGAAAAGGAAAAGGAAAACCCAAAAATCAGAAATTCTTAGGATTTATTCCTCTCTCTAACATTGTTTCCCAATTTCTGCAGTACTGGAGCTCTGATTTTGAACAACAACTGACATGGACTCTTGTCGACGAAACCTTAAATGCCTTGCAATGAACTCATCAATGGCACGGTGAAATTCCTCATCGCTCAACCCATCCTCTCTGCAAAACAAATTCTCCTTTCTTGACCCCAACTTCTCTGTCTCCGATCTCCGCAGCTGCTTCTTCTCCTTCACATAATTCTTCCTCCCCATCACCTCCGACTTCGTCCTCCGAATTTTCAGATTTTCACGGTCAGAATCCTGGTCTGCATACATGTCCGCTTCAGGATCGTGATCTTCGTTCTCATTTTCACGCGTGCTAGTAAAAGCGTTCTCTTCGGAGATGGTGTGTTTTTCTTGGAACACAACTTCCTCCACTTTCTTTGTTATCCCAGTCGCTGTCGCTGTCGCAGCGTGAGACAACAATACGTTAGGATTCTGTGAGAGAAATGGCTTTGGACAGTTGCGATTGTTGCCTGTGTTTTTTATTAACTCCTCTTGCAGTTGAGTATCAGCATTGTCTGCGCTGTAATTCTCGCCGGAGAATATGCCGGATTTTGCTATCAAAGTAGCAATTATCCCGTTAGAAAGCAAGAAAACGAAGAGGGGGCTAGCTACTATGCTGGCTAGTCGCCGGATAAACTCCCGGGAAATCTTGATTGCAAATGGAAGCTTATTAAAGATCCATGAGAGGAGGATTATAGCAAGACAGAATTCCAGTAAACGAAACAATTTTGTTAAGGTTTGTAAACGGTTGTATTTTAGTATTGCATTAGCTTTCTCGACTTTTACACTGTCAAAATTGGAGAAATCCATTTCTTGATTTCACGAAGAGAGTGAAAGATTGGCCTCAAGAGGAGAAATCCATTTCTTGATTTCACGAAGAGCGTGAAAGATTGGCCTCAAGTGAAGAACAAGAAAGATTGTACTAAAAAGGGGTTTTCACGGAAAGGAAATTTTTTGTTGAAGAGGAGCCGCGAGTGAAGTACAGAAGGGACACAGGAGCCCGAAAGCGAGAGGATTTGTGTTTTCGTTTTTTTTTTTTTTTCAATTACTTCAGCTTAGGAGAGAGCTGAACCTTCGGTGGAATGGACAGATGTTTGCCTTTTTATAATTGCATACAAGGGGAACAGGGGGTCGCACACAGATCATTAGCCTTTCCAAGGAAAAAATAAATAAGTATATATATTTCATTCTTTATTAATGGGGATTTGTTTAAATCAAAGTGTTTAAGAGTCCTAATCAGAGAGTGACCCGATTTCAGACAGGCGTGGATTATTGCTGATAAGTGGTGTCCGAATGACATGCCACGTGAACTATTTTATTTTATTTTTTCCTTTTCTTTAGCTGTGGAGTCTGTCTTTTTTGCTGATATATATACACACACACACACACACATCCACACTTTTATTTTATTTATTTTATTGTTTTTGTTGCTAGGGTGAAGTTACTAGTAGCTGTGGCCTGTGGGATGCTGGAAAATTCCAAAGATAAATAGTCCTTCGAGCATCTGAGTCTCATTCATGTGTATTTTTCATAAACAGTCCGAATTTAGACACTGAAGGTCGGAAGGAAATGAAGCACGACCCTTTTTGTTGTGTTATTAGAGCTTGATGCCCTTTTCAACAAGCAAAATTAGAAGGCAAGGCATTAGTAACCAGTCATGTAGCCATGTAGGTGCTTAAACCTCCCTCCAAGAACATTCAAACTCAAATCTTTTCACTTGCAACGTGCTCAAACAACTAAGTCCTGTGATTTGACATGAATAAACAAAGCATGTGTGGTCTATGTCACACAGCATCTACAAGGAACATATCCTCTCTCTTTTTTTCTGGAAAAAAAAAAAAAGATTACCGAGAGTAAATAATGTGCGTCTGCATTTGATAAGATGCAGTTGAGGGTTTTCACGTGAGCTATGTGCCTTTCGTATATTTTGCCTACCACATTGTTAGTGGTCCATCTCTTTTTGATCGATTCAACATTATTTCCATACACACGATTGTTCTTACTGTTGCCAATTCACACGGTTGTTCTTGATAGGGGCAGTGAATAGTAGTGAACTAAGGATAATTCACTCCTTTGTTTTAGTCAAGAATAATAAGAAGCAGCCTTCAAAGCGAGCAAGCATGCAGGCAGGCAGGCAGGCACCTTGCGTGCCCAAAGACTTGGCATCACGTGGTTCTGAAACCCAGAGTACGGTGAAGTTTTGACAGGGTTAAAATAGTATCTTATAGTCCCTAGGCCTAGTTACCTGGTCAAGTAATCGTAAATAAATGAAAGAAGTAGCAATTTTAAATTTTCCTTACTCAGAAACAGGACGTGTTTTTGCAGCAAGGGAGGGGGAGGAGAGCTTGTGTTATTTATGATTTATGGAATAAGAAGCAATGTCACTGCCACAAATTAAATCAATAAATACAATCAGAAATATAAGGGAATAATTGCCAACGGATTTTACTAATAAAAATATTTTATAGAGAGCTCTAACTTCCCAATAAGGCCCCTCAAGCTAGATCCAGAGGATTAATGGATCCAAGCTTGCTCATTAGTCGGTGAAACTTAGTAGATGACAGAACTTTAGTGATCAGATATGTTAGATAGTCATTTGTACACGCATAATGAGTAGCAATAAGTTTAGAATGGACATTCAATCAACTTCAATGTATTTTGTTTATTTATGAATTATGGAATTAGAAGCAATGTCACTGCCACAAATTAAATTGATAAATACAAACAGAAATATCAAGGAAATAATTGCCAACAGATTTTACTAATAAAAATATTTTATAGAAAGCTCTAACTTCCCGATTACACTATTAATTACTGTTATTTACAAACAAAATCATTGATGCATTGAAAAATCGTCAATGTTATTTGATGGTTTTCTAAAAAATTTAAATTAATTTAAATATTATAGACAGAATCACTGACGGAGTGAAAAGTCGTTGGTAATATTTGGTGGTTTTTGAAATTTTTTTATTAAATTCAAATTTAAAAAAATATTACAGTCAGAATCATCGACAGAATGATTAAAAATATTAATATTTAATTATCTGTTGGTAAAAGACCCCAATAAAAAATTTAGATTCCCTAATTTCACAACAAACTCATCTCCTTTCTTCTTCTTCTTCTTTTTATTCTCTTCTCTTCTCAACTCCTTCTCTTCTTCTTCATGCTTAAGTATGTCTTCTTCTACTTTCTTATTTTTTTCTTCTTAGCTTCTCTCCTCAACTCCTTCTCTTCTTCTTTATGCTCAAGTATGTCTTCTTCTACTTACTTATTTTTTTCTTCTTAGTTTTTTTAATTAGTATACTTTACAAAAAAAAATTTCTTCTTAACTTCACTTGCAACTACATTAAAGTAAAAAAACTTCTTCTTTTCTTGTGTTTTTTTTACTATATTTGTTTTTATTTTATTTTTAATTGTTTTTGTTCTTAATAATTGTATGAATGTTGTTGTAGGATTATTTTTTTTCATATGAGATCAATTTCAATTGATTTATTTATAGGATTTTTAAAATTTTTTCATATGAATTTTTTAAGTTGAATTTATTTTTCGTGTTATTTATTTGTTGTAAAATTTTTTGAGTTGATTTTCTTCTTCTTTTTTCCAAGCATTTTGAGTATTATAGAGTATCGATTAATATTAATTTAATTATTTTATAGTTTTGTAAAATATATTTTTAAATAATTACTGATAGAATTGCATATGGTTTGTTTTCGAGGGAATTACCAACGAAAAGAAAAAAAATTTTGCTCTCCTTTTCCATTAGTAAATCCATTGGTAATAATATTTTTTTATTACTAACAGACAAAAAATTACCAATAAAAGATTCATCGATGAAGACTTTCTGTCAGTGATTTAGTCGGTATTTTTTTTACCAATGGAATGGTAGTGCAAATACTGACAAAAAATTCTGTCAGTAAATCTAAAGATTGTGGTAGTGTGTTCATGGCAACTTGATTATCATAAAAAATTATCATTGGAGTAATGCATGAACAACCTAGATTAGCAAGAATACCTTTAAGCCATAAGAGCTCACATGTTGTTCAAGCTATAACATGATATTCAACTTCAGAGCAAGAGCAAGTTACCACTTGCTTTTTACTTTTTTATAAATTTAGGTTACTACCAACAAACATACAATAATTAGTAGTTGATCGACGATTAAGTGCATTTCTGGTCCAATTACAATTGGAATTCCCTATAATCTTAGTGTGACCATTATTATTCATAACTATGTCACGACCATTAATGTCTTGAAATAACACAAAATATGTTTCATCATTCCTAGATGTTTAATGGTTGAAGCATGCATATGTTGATTGACAAGACTAATTGCAAATATAATGTTAGGATGCATGATAGTCAAATAGATAAGCTTTCCAACAATCTTCTAAAAGTAACCAGGGGAATCAAGAGTTTCTTCAAAAGAATTTAGCTTTAATTTCCTATTTAGTGGAGTAGCAGTAGGTTTATTGTGCAGCACATCAGCATCTTGAACAAATTCACAATGCCTTTGTATTGATTTAGAAATAATCATTTGCTGGAAGTTGTCATTTCAATTCCAAGAAAGTATTTCAAAAGACCAAGATCCTTAATTGGAAATAGATGGTAAATATTCTACTTTAATTGAGAAATAAAATCAATATTTTTACCGATAATAATGAGATCATGAACATAGATAAACACCATCAATTTGTCAATTGCATCAAGTTAAACATATAGTGAAGAATCAACAAAGCTTTTGGAGAAATCAAAAGCTTCAAGAGCATTGCTTAATTTTGCATGCCATGTACAAGGACTTTAAGAAGTTTACAAACAAGGTTATAATCTTCATATTGAGAATGTTTAGGAGGAAGCTTCATATAAATTTCTTCTTAAAGATATCTATGAAGAACACATTTTTAACATCCAATTGAGACAGAGACCACCCATTATTAATAGCCATAAATAAGAGAACTTTGACAATGGTCATCTTGGCAACAGGGGCAAGCATCTTCTTATAATTAACACCAAACTTCTAAGTAAAGCCTTGAGCAACAAAGTGTGTTTTATGTCAATTAATAGAACCATCAAAGTTGAATCTTGTTTTAAACACCTAGTGATTGCCAATTGCATGCTTGTTGATTAGTACTTAAAAGTGCATTTTTATTATGGTTTTATATCATTATTTTGCACTTGAAGTATCAATAACTCCTTAACTAAAGCATGTTTTATAATAATATATCTAATAATACAAGATACCTTTAATTTGTGGTAAATATTCATTTTAAATACAGGTGATTAGTACTTAAAAGTGCATTTTTATCAAGGTTTTATATCATCATTTTGCACTTAAAGTATCAATAACTCCTTAACTAAAGCATGTTTTATAATAATATATCTAATAATATAAGATACCTTTAATTTGTGGTAAATATTTATTTTAAATGCAGGTCTATCACATAAATGAAAATATTGATGGATGTCTTTAAGAACTTAAATTGCAAAGGCAAA